CTGAAGGCAAGACAAGGAAACAGCAAAAACACCAAGTCCTCGGACCCTACAAATTCACCCACCAGCAGCTCGAGCGAGAAGGCGTGATTCAGAAGAGCAATGTCCCGGAGAATAGGAGAGCCAACATTTACTTCAACTTCACGAGCCCGCTCCCCGGCACCTTTGTCATCTCCCTTCACTACAAAGGGCGGAATCGCGGTCTTCTCGAGCTCGACCTCAAGCTCGACGATCTGCTGGAGATGCAAAAGGACAACCAAGAAGACCTGGATCTCGAATATGTCCAGTTCAACGTGACCAAGGTACTGGTCCTCCTCAACAAGCGATTTGCACGTAAGAAGGGATGGTAGATTCGTCTCCTCCCTGCGCGCGACATTGCGTACACCACATCACGAAAAAGATACGATACCCCCGATTATTACTACGTCTTTCCTGCTGTTTGACGCCCGCACACCAATCTACCTACACTCATTTTCCCGATTCCTTTCTCATTACTACCCAACTACAACGCGGAACAAAAACCCCCGTCTCTACGAATCATCTAGTCATCAGCCCGGAGTACAGGCGTATATTGGGCGCATCTCCTATATTTTCGAGGATACCCCCACCCCCGGTGAAAGGACTGGTTTGGGCTGCTGCTGAGGGATACGGTGGACATGGCTGATTCCGTTTTTCGCAGTTTACTTCCTTTTTGGTGGTTGTTCTGCCGATGTTTTTTGTTTTGTTTTGGTTTCTAGCGCGCTCTGTTTATTATGGAGGTTATGTCAGTCCTTTTTGTTGTTCATGTGCTTTTTCTCATAACCTTTTCAAAGTCTCTCGCTACTAATTACGAGTTTGTCGGCAGGCATCCGAAGTTCCTACCTGGCTGCTGTTTTGATTGGCAGTTTTCAGAGTCCTATTTTACTTGCGAGCGAACACACGAGCGATATCCACAGTTGGTTTTGTACGATATATAGGAAACGCGTATGCGAGTATGCGATGGATGGTGTTTTTGGAAGCAATCTGCGCGGTTGCGACTGATGCAGAGTGGGCTGGTTGTGTGGTTTATCTTGTCCCCAATGGAATTGAGCGTTTGTAGCTCGTCATTTTGATACTTCTACATGTGTGGTTTTCGTGTCTGTGATGTACGTGATGTACGCGAAGTGATGTTAACAAGACTATTATCACCTTGATGAACAGCTCAGTGGTGCAGCATGGATATGCATGCGTTGTTTTCGATGCGCACGTCAGGTACGGACCGACAGGGCGATAACGCCTCCCTTGTCGCTACGTCACCTGTCTCGCCCACTGTACCCGAATGACCTGATTCTCCCCCACATATTCGGAATCGCAATCGCGGCTCTGGCATGTGCAATCCGATGATAGCCAGAATGATGAATGCACAAGATCAAGACAGCGGAAACTACGCCGGATGTTGTCGGCTCAGCTTCAACACCCCATACCCTCATCCATCATCCATCAAGATAAGCATGTAATAGATAACAGCTATCCTTCCCTACAGTACCTAGGTGTCTAATGCATGCATGCATCATGCTCCACGCACCCTCCCAACACACCCGTGGCCGCCTCATGCACACGCAAGACGCAAGACGCAAGACGCACGCAAGACACCACGGTGCGTGGGTGCCAGGTAGGTGCGGAGCGGGTGCCTGTCACACGTGCCCCACGCCGATACAGTGAGGCGTGAGCGGAATGTCGGAATGGGGGTAGGCGGCCAATCACAGCGCTACACACTCGCGGCCGATCGACAAGGGCGGACGCGAGTCCGGGGTCTGTGGTGGAGCTGGAGCTGGGATTGGGAGGGAGGAGTCAGGCAGACGCGATGCGGACTTGGACTGGGTGCGGGCTATACCGCGGACGGGCTTGGGGTGTCCGAGGCGTATGACTGTTACTCCTCGTTGTCGTTGCTTCCTCTCTTCTTCTTGTCCTCTGGTCTTTCGGGTAATTGCATGTTTGATTGACTGAGCAACGGCTGTTCTGCTGGTCTGGTCTTCTTGGTCCTTGGTCCTTATCTTCATTATCTACCTACCTACCACCCGCTACATCTATCTATCTACACAGCAACCTATCCCACCATGTCGTCCTCCTCATCCACCGCCATCGCGATACCAAAGCGTAAGGGCAAGGGCCCTGCTTCCTCTTCTCACCACCACCACCACCATCACTCGTCGTCGTCGTCATCCTCGTTCGCGGCTTCCACGCCCTCGACGCCGAATCATTACAACTACAACTACAACTTCACACCGTCTTCGAACCGCTACTCGTATGGTAGTGCAAGTGGTAGTGGTAGTTGTGGCTCCACGCCTTCCTCGTCGTCTGGTAGCCCCCAGAGTGGTTCCCTAAGCGGCGCACGCAGGCAGAGTCTGATGAGCGAGGCGTTTTCGCGGCAGGAACATACTGTTATTAATGTGGGAGAAGAGGAGGGGGAGGGTGCGCTGAGGCTGATTACGTGTGTTAAGGCTAGTCAGGGGTTTGATTGGAATATGGGTATGTTGTTTCCCTTTTCTCTGTTCTTTCTTAGCGGTGGAGGGTTTGGTTGTGAAGCTGGATGACGAGGAACTGGGCTAATGACGCTGTGTACGACAGAGATGTTCCTCCCTTCCTACGTCGACTACCACTTCGATGATCTCGAGCGCCGACAGGATCCTGTGAAGGATATCATTGTTACGGATGAGGAGGTTAGGAATATGTTTCCGGAGTAGAAGATGGATGGGGGTGATGCGTTGGCATGATACAAGCGCTACTTCTCAGGAGATTGGGGCACTACACAAACTGTAGTGGGTCTTGCAGCATGTAGAGAGCCTTGTAACTGTACAAAGCTCTCTACATCCTGCAAAGCCCTCTACACATTGTGTGGTACTCTGATTCTCCTGAGAACTGGCGCCTGATATTGGATGTGCATATGCTTTGGCATTTTATGGATTACGCGGTATTGAGATCATGTTTATATGGGTTGGGATAGGCGTTTGGTATGGAATCATGGGCGTTTGGGTTGAAGGCTGTATATCATGAGACTGGACTGGATGGGTTATGGCGTTAAAGGCTGCGGTTGCTCGCTGCTCATAGGACTTAGGGGTTATCTTCAAGGGTGTATCTCAAATCAAACAAATCGCATGTAACGATACATTATTCCTGTATCCAACTGTATCGACTGCGTTGTTCGAGTGCAGCTTCGAGGGATGCAGGCAGCCCCACACCTCGGCCCCGATAAGGCAGGCTGATAAGCCGACGAAGACGCGCGCGGTCCACGTTCCGCGTTCGCAAACAAGAACCATAACAAAGTCGACCACCACAACGACGACCCGCATTCCACCACTCAACACCCTGTTACCGCTCATAACAGCCACAACAATATCTCCGCGCAAACCATCCACCCAACTACAAGAGCGAAATCATCCCGCAAACCCCACAAAGCGCGCCCGTGCAACACAATCCTCACCCATCACCACGCCTGCCACACCACCGCAAAATGGACGCCTCCCACCGCAAAATCGAACTCCAATCCCCCTCCGACCTCACATTCCTCACATCGCAAATCCGCACCGCCGCGCGCCAGAAACTCGACTTGCACCTCCCGCCCGTGCCCTCGAGCGCTACAAACGGCGATGCGCCAGACGAACTGCGGCGCTCGGTCGAAGACCTCGTTGAGATATTTGTTGCGAAAGTGCTAAAGGGGATACGACATAATGTTAGCATCAATGGGATTGATGTTGTGGAGAGTGGGGATGGCGAGGGGATGGATGGGGTTGTGAATGGACATGGAGGAGGAGGAGGAGGAGGAAGAGGGGAAGGGGAAGGGGAGTCCATGGTCGAGACAGTGGAATACGAACCTTTCGACGATAAACTGCGGAGTCAACTATCTGCTACAGTAGCGAAACGCGATGCGCTCATTGCGAAGATAAGTCAGCAACGGAGGACGACGCCGAAGGTTGCGGCGGAGACGTGGATCAAGGGGTTTGAAGAGGAGGAGAGGGTGTGGGCGGCGCTGCAGGAGAGTATGGAGAAGGATGCTGCTGCTACTGCTGGGAATGGAGGTGGGGATGTGGCTGGGGTGGAGGCGCTGCAGAGGCAAGAGGAGGTAGAGAGGAATTGGGAGAGAGCGGTCACGGGGTTGCAGAGGTTGAATAAGGGGTTGCCGGAGACGAGGGCGAGGTTGGAGAGGGCGGGGGATGTGGTGGGGTACTTGGGAGGTGGGAATGGGAAGTAGTGAGCTGTGGGCTGGGAGGGCTGTGTGGCTTAGACATGTTTCTTTTCTGGAGTATATGGGCTGGTTGGGAATCGGCAGGTTATGGGATACCCACGCGTATTGCTATTGCAGATATCGCTTCGCCGGGATACTAGGTTACTTGCTGTTTGTGTCAATATGAGATGTATAGCACAAGAGTCGTTTTGAAAGGAAGGCGTGTTATGCTAGTATCTTGTACGTGGTCAAAGGCGTCTTTTGTTCTGAAGTTGATGACCGCCCCAATGTGACTTTTGAGATGGTCTCATCATCTACGTGCCACCCGTCATCACATTTGTCACCAGTCCGAAGATGCCAACATCGTCTATCAAATTAGTTGGTTACACCAACCCATCATCAACACTGCACACAATGCTAGTTGGCGAGATCACAGTTTTAAAATTATGTTGATAGCATCGTAGGACTAACGCGATCTCACGGCCCTTTTCGTCGGTGCTGACCACGCCCATCAACCCTGCACTCAACTTGACCACACCACCTGCCACTTTGCCGCGTTCTGTTCAATTGAACAAGTCGTTTGAGCTTCGCGCTTTCAAACCTCTAGCCTACAATCACATGTGGGAACCTTCCTCGGCAACATTCGGCGCGTCAAGCTTGCAAAAGCCATACGTCATGGCGTCAACGCCGACTTCCGTTGGTCGACCCGCAAGCACCCGGCGAGTGGGTGGGTGTCGATAAATAAAACTTTGGTTTTGATAAACACTCTTTTGGTTCAATATACAAGGATTGCGAGTGTAACTTTGATTGTCAAGACTGAAAGATGCTGTCGCCGACTCGTATATCGCTGTTGCCGGGTGGTGTTAGGGAACTGGTGTCTTCACCCATGACGAGATCGCGCACGGCATTGCTATGTCGGACAGGAGCTTTGATAAGCGCAAAGTATGGGAAGAGCTTGGAACAAAAGAGGATGATTACGATTGAGCAATTGGATAAGAGGAGAGACAGTACGTTGTTCTCCTTGCTCAACCTTACCTGCTCTAGCACAAGACCCCAGCTACTAACAACCCCATCCCAGACCGCGAGCGCGTAGTCATCCTAGGATCCGGCTGGGCGGGCTTCACAGTCGCCCGCAGTCTCGACTCCTCCAAATTCCAAACGCTCGTCGTATCGCCACGATCCTACTTTGCTTTCACGCCTCTCCTTGCCTCCACCGCAGTCGGCACCTTGGAATTCCGGACCGCGCTCGAACCCGTGCGCAGCCGGCGGACTAAAGTCGACTTCTTCCAGGGATGGGCCGACGATGTCGATTTCAAGAACAGGACTATTACGATTGAAGAGGCGGTTGACGATCCGAAACAAGGTGTTGCACTAACCACGGATCGACATGCTGGGGAGACAGCGGAAGAGAGGGAGGCGGAGAGGAAGAAGGAAGCGAAAGTAGGGAAGCTGTTTGATGTCGAGTACGACAAGTTGATTGTGACGGTGGGGTGTTATAGTCAGACATTCGGCACGCCGGGTGTAAAAGAACACGCCTTCTTCCTCAAAGACGTAGGCGATGCGCGCAGGATCCGGAATCGCATCTTAGCATGCTTCGAAGGCGCTGCGCTACCCACCACGTCTATCGAGATGAAGAAGCAGCTCCTCAACTTCGCTGTCGTGGGCGGTGGACCCACTGGCATCGAGTTCAGCGCGGAGTTGCACGACCTCATCAACGAGGATATGAAGAAATTGTACCCGGAACTCGTTCAGTACCACAAGATTACTGTTTACGATGTCGCGGAGAAGGTGCTTCCTATGTTTGATCAGAAACTCGCGGGGTATGCGATGCAGAAGTTCAAACGCAAGGGCATCGATATCAAAACAAGCCATCATGTAGAAGAGTTAAGGCCGGGGGCGCCTGCGGAAAGGAGCTTTTCAGACGACGTGGATGACTACCACCTGTATACTCTCAAGGTGAAGGAGGAGGGCGAGATTGGCGTGGGCATGTGTGTATGGAGTAAGTATCCCTTCTCTTTCCTTCTCACATCACCACTCTCCATTCACACGCACTCGAGGACGACACTAACCCCAACCCGCAGGCACAGGACTAATGCAAAACCCCTTCGTCGACCACGCCCTCTCTTCCGTCCGCGAAGCGCCAACCGACCTCTACCTCCCATCAAGCTCCTCCTCCTCCTCTCCACCATCTCCCCAATCCACCACTCCAGGCAAAGACGTAAAATGGACAGTAAAGAAAGACTCTAAATCCGGGTCCATCATAACAGACGACCACCTACGCGTCAAACTCATCCCCTCTACTTCCACCTCCGAAAACCCCTCAGATAAAACTACGCAAGAAGCAGTCCACCCCTCCGTCTTCGCCCTCGGCGACTGCGGAATAATCGAATCAACAACCTACCCCGCCACCGCCCAAGTCGCGTCTCAAAAAGCTTTCTGGTTGGCAAAACGGCTCAACGACGGTTCCTTGTCCACTCCACCATCCCCCTCCTCAAAGGGCTTCACATACCGCGACCTCGGGACACTAGCTTACATCGGAAACTGGAATGCGTTGTTCCAGGGAGGCGGGAAATGGGGTGGCAGATTGCAAGGGTATGTAGCGTGGATTATCTGGCGGGGAGCGTATTTGACAAGGACGGTTAGTTGGCGGAATAAGGTCTTAGTGCCGGTTTATTGGTTGGTTAATTGGGTTTTTGGGAGGGATGTGAGTAGGTTTTAGGGGTGAAGTGGATGGTATGGGTAGGATGGAGGGGATGTGGTGGCGGCATGTAATGTGTAGGGTTCAAGCTTTCGTTAGGAGAGTTGAGGGACGTGAGATAAGATCGGTCTCTGTTCTGTAACTTCCATGAGAAGATATGTATTCAGACCACGATGCCCGTCACACATCACTGCAAACAAAGCTTTGTGTTGATACTTTCATGTATTGATATAGCACTACCGATTACCAGGTAGCTTCTACTCAAGTAACTAATCGACGATATCGTGAAAAGGGGGGTATCAAAATGGCTTCAAATCATCCATGTGAAAAGTACCTTGCCGCCCATCCATAAAGAAAAGAAAAAAGATCCAAAACGCCTCGTGGATCTCCAAACGTGAACGCTCACTATATAATTTACTGGAACTGAAAAGTCAAATCACTCCCCCGTCCTCCGCGTCTTAGGACTCTTCTTCGGAGGCGGCTTGAACGAATCGCTCGTGCGGGCGCGTTTGAGATTCGCCGGTGGACCAGCCCTGCTGCTTCCACTGCTAGCCTGGCTAGCACGCTTAGCCAACTTCGCAGCCTCGCGAATGCGGACACCACCAGCAGGGCTGTTAAACCCACTTCCGCCTCCAGCGGTTGCAGCCGAACTTCCAGCGGGAATCTCTTCGGCGAGACGATCGGCGAGAGCAGCGTCGTATTCGCGCTCGCTCGCACGGACAGCGCTGGGGTCTTGTTGGCGGGCTGTAGCGAGCATGTCGACGCTGCCGTCGTCGCTGTCTTCGTAATCGGACTCAGATCCTTCAGAGACGTCGGAGGCGATGGGCGCGATGTTGAGGATCTGCATGGCGGTTGTAGGGCCGCCTGAGTCGCTGTCGCTGTCGGGTTCGGATGAGGCGTCGGATGCAAGGTCCGAGTCGACATCGCCGGAAGAGCAAGAATCCAGTGGAAGGAAGGAGGCGGGAGGGAGAGTCGAGCTGGGAAGGTTTTTCCGTGACGCAGAGAGAATCCTCTCCTCAATCACACGCTGGGGACTTGATCTAGGCGACTCGACTTCAGGAGACGACTGCCTATCGTTGAGTGCATCCTGGATGGCCTTGGGGTACAAGGTTGACCAGCGGCGAGCGGCGACATGGGATGGTGCGGTGGGTATTTGTGATCGTCGTACGTGGATGGAGAAGTTGTCCTCTGGCTGCACACCACCCAAACCCGAAGCCTCAAAGTCCATGAGTTCTGGGCTGGTGTTACCGCTGTCGTTCCTCAAGGCCTCTGGTGAGAAGCCAAGGTCATCTCCACTCGAGACAGTGCGTGATCCGCTGTCAACATCCATCGGCGTAGTGTCCAAAGGACCTCGGGGCTCGGCCAGGTCCAGCGACGTCCTCTTGGTCGGGGACGATGTACCCTGTTTCGCACCAAGCGGCTGGTTCGTGATTGGCTGATAATTGCCAGGCATGGTAAGGAAGGCGCCGTTACGATCACCGCTCAGGTCAGTGCAGAACTTGGCCTTGGTGTAGAAGATCATGGGTCCGTCATCGCGCCTGCGAGGTTTTGATGAGGAGCTCTGCATGATGGAACTGCTGAAACCTGAGGAGTTGCCCGTGGGCTGGGGTTGGTAAGAGTAGTTGGCTGAGGATTCGGCGTCGAAGGCGTAAAACTCGTCTTCGTTCTCCGACTCATCCTTGTGGAAGAACATGGGTTTGTACGCAAACTTGTTTTGCTCCTTCTCACGCTGGGCACGAGCTTGCCTTCTGGCAATCGTGGCTTCATCCATCATGTCGCTGCTGGCACCGCTGTTGCCAGTCTTCATACCCTTGAAAGGCGACTGGGAGCCGGACTCATTCGGTGAAGCACCACTCCAATGCTCCGACGAGCTGTCGCCGCTGTGCTTGGTAATGTCGAGGCCGCCCTTCCATCGGATTTTGCGACCGTCGCGAGAGATCTCGAGATGGTTGCTGTACTCGTGCAAGGCGTCCTTGACGAACTCGGGTGTGACGTTTAGAGTGTGTAGTTGGGCCATGTTGATGACCAAGTTTAGGTAAATCCAGCCGTGGCCGAGGGGTGCTTCTCCAGAGTCCATGTCCGGTGGGGTGAAGCCAAGATGGCGGATGTAGTCCATGTTCTCTGTAGGCACCTGCGCACGGTAAGGGTCCAGGTCTAGCGGTCGTGTGGGTCGTTGGTCGGGAGATAGACCTGAGCCAGCGAAGTCCTGTTCCTCGATATGCAGGCTGGGGCGGAAGCCCTGTAGGACTTCGTCCTGGTCCGCATGACTTTCCCGAGCAGCACTAGCACCGCGGTCGTTCCTGATGCGAGCTTCACGCTGACCCTCGGGCTTCTGATTTTGTCCCGTCGCTTCTCGCTGGGCACGGTCGGCTGTTGCTGCCGACTGGGCTACTTCCTGTTGCTGCATTGGGTGTGGGTGGGACCCGGGCGCAGAGCGCTTGCCAGCAAAGATCTGCTCCAGGCGGCGCACAACCATCTTCTTCTTGGACTTGTCGGTCATGGGGGCGGTCTTGTTGTTGGGTAGCAGGCCCATGGGGATGTCGTGGAGGTACGACTGGATGTTTTGCTGTTGCCGGCTGTAGGCGGATTTGGTCATCTTGCGGTGGTCGTTGTCTTGATTGGATTGGCCTGACGAGTTAGGGCCGGATGCAGATAGGGAAGCGTAGCCCGACTCGGCGAAGCGCGATGTGGAGGAGGCGGTGTTGTGGGTTTGGAGTGCCGGGGTGTAGGCTGAGATGTCGGCGTAGTCGTTGGCGGTGCCTTCGTCGAGATCTGATGCAAACTTGCGCAGAGTCTCCTCGAGCTCCTTCTTCTTGTGGTCGGGCAGGCCATGGAACCTCACCTCGAACAGCTTCTCTTCTTGCAGGTGGGCATCGTAGAGCTTCTCGTACTTCCTCAGCCGCTGCTTGAGCTTCTTGTTGGCAACGGTCAAGTCGTCAATGACGCTGCGAAAGTCTTCGGTGCTGCTGCCGTCTGTGCCAATCTGGCCGAGGGGACGGTATGGCATGGTGGCATGTGGCTGGGTGGAGTTGGAGTTATCTGGCGGCGTCTCGGACGAAGACGAGTTGCGGAGAAAGAAGGGCGGTTCATCTACGGTGGTCAGTCATACTCTCTCCTCTATTGTCTTGTAGGTAGTACTCACTGTCGACGAAGGCCGACTTGCCCTGGCTGGCCGTGTTGTTGGTCTTTTCGAACCATTGGCCGGCGTCGCTGCTCTCGCCCGAGCTGGTCTTGTTGGAGAGCAGCTGGGGAGACACGCTCGAGGGCGGATTGGCCTTGTCGCTGGCGAGGGTGGGCGACGTCTCAGCAGTCGGCGCCTTCTTGGGCTCGCGTCTTGATGGTTGAGGTTTAGGCGGCGGGCTGTGGCGGAGAGAGACGGAGCGGTGGGCTGGCGGGCGGCGTGGGTGGGAACGCGCAGCCATGGGAATGGTTCCCGGGCGGTCGTTCATGGCGGGTGGAGAGAGGCGGGTGAGAGTTGGGGGCTAGACAGGCAGGATGCTCCCCATGTGGATGATGGTGAATGTCAGGCCGCTAGCGATCAAATGTCCAAGGTGTGCGTATATTGTAGACCGGGAGGCTGTTGTGCCCAGGCTCGAATGGATCAGACGCTTCCGCGGCGGTGGTTCGAATGGTATGTAGGGTGCTGGTAGCGGCGTCGTCGTATGGTTGGGAGGGCAGTTTCAGCGTGCAAATTGAAAGATGGCTGAAGAGAGTTGTGGGCTCTCTCGGCGCTGGTTTGAGCAGGTGAGCCATGATGGGCATCGATCTTGATGTGGGTAAGCATGTCGATGCTCTCGATTTCCAAGCTGCCAAGACTGCAGCTGGAGATCGAGGGTACCTGGCCGCGAAGAGGAAGTGTGGCGTTCGGGCCTAGCGCACCAACTACCGGCAATCGACGATGGGCCTTGATCTCCAGCCCACCATCGCCCAGGAGGGAGACCATCGCCCTTCTGTTCCGCCCGTTGACCCTCAAGTCTCGATGGCTCTCCATATCTGTGATGGCCGTCCTCTCCTATGCTTCTCCGGAGAACACAACCTTCTAGCAGCACTGCCGCACTGCGAACAACATGCAATCGCCCGCACACATCTACACTTGCCACCGTCTAGATCCGCGTCTGACAGTTGCTGCCAGTGCTGCACGGCATGAGAGATGGTCCAGACCCTCTTCACACCATGGCTTCCCATCACAGCAGAACCGTGGCGGCACGAACCGTTGACACGCTGCCGCTAGAGCCTCACCAGCCACACGCACTCTCACACACGGCCACAGCATCCATCGAGATTGCGAATGCTAGCCGGCCCTCTCCTGACGCACACTCCCCGTGTCCCCTCCCTGGATGAGGTCACTCTTGCACGGTGCTGGCAACGGCTGGGAAGCGCAATCGATTTCCTGGACCCTGATCTGTCCTTGGTTGTTCGGCTCAGACACCCTGCCATCATGATTGGCGGGCGACTGACTCCCACTGTGCCGCTCTCATCGCTGCCAGCATCGCAATCGAGAGGGTCATCGCAGTAAAGGGTCCAGCTGGAACACTCGTTAATGCATCTCACGGCAGGCATGCAGCTGACTTCCTCCGACAAGCATACGAAAAGGGTCTTATTACGCCTGGATCCTCAGGGGCTTTGACCTGCGACGACCGCTGACCATCTCCAACATTTTTCACTCTCACGGTGGGGTGATGCCACTCTCAACTTCAGATCACCGATTGAGCTCGGATCGCAGATTACTCGTTGCAACCATGCAGGGCAGAGCGCGCCGGGAGGTCGCCCCGGTCTAATCACCGAATCGCAACCAATATTGTTTCGTAACTTGTTAGGATGCACAACACCATCGGCGATGTTGGAATTAGGCTCGTCTAAATCGTACGATGGTGTTTGGACACTCAAAAACCTGAAGGGGTTTCATACTGGAAATGTCACATTCAACATCCCATCGAGATCGCATGTGCCGTGACGTCTTCGCTAGTGTAGCGGAAAAAGTAGAAACACAGAATACATCATGGCCTCGGCTTAACGTGCCATGAAACAGTCAACATCCGCCGATGGACAGACGAACTCAGATGCGCGCACCCTTACTCCTCAGCACGTTGACGGCAGAATGTCCCGTGTAGTTGAGCCACTCGCCCAGTCCTCCCATGAAGCCGCCAACCTTCATCAGGTCTTGTAATCTGTTATCCAGAAACTGCTCCGTCTCTACAAAGTTGGCCGACTTGTCCTGTGTCATGTATAACTCGGTCGAAGAGTAGATGGCCGA